GATTGTACACAGAGGGAGAAGTTATTTTTCCTTGACATAAACATCCAAGCCTTTCCTCGGCCCCTTCTCTTGAAACGTGGAGGTAGGACCTGGACTCATAACATCCGGCAGGAGGGGTTGGCCTTATCTGCCAGGAAACACTCAGCTCCGGATACATCCTCCCCTGCTCCCGGCACCCCAAGCAGCTCCCATTGGCAGTGCTGGGCAGGAAACCACTCAGCAGCTTGTCTCATTCCCTCCTCTGGAGAGACAGGAGGGAGGGTCTGATCCTGCCCTCCCCGCCGTGGGGTGCAGCAGGGTTCGGAGTCAGGGTGGGGTTGGGGGGAAAAAAAGGGATGGAGGGGGAAAGGTGAGTAAAAAAAGGGGGGAAATAGGGGATTTAGGATGTGGGGATTTGGGGGAGTTGGCTGTGTTGAGGGTCTCTTGAGGCTCTGTTGCTGATTTTAAGGGTGAGCTCAGTCCAGTCACCACACCAGCTTCTCTGCCTCTACTTCCCTCACCTGGTTCTGCTCTGAAAAATCAGGGAAGATTGTTGGATCCCAGCTGATTTTGTAGCAGGATCCAGATCCCTCAAATAGGGCAGGGACCCTCATGCTAAAGGCAGAACAAGCACTTGGTCCTGTTCACATTCTAGATAAGAGACAGGTCATGTCCCAGCACTGGTTGGAAGAAGGGTGGGACGGAAGGAAGAATTATCTCTATTTTACAGACAGGGAAACTGAGGCATGGAACATCCACGTGGCCATTTGTCACCAGGGCCCACCCCTGTCCAGTGGCACTGGGACAAGCAGAGAGAGGACAGAGGAGTCAACACCGAGTCAACACCTGCTCAAGGGATGCAAGGGAAATTGCCCAGGGCATGACACACAGGGCAGCCAGCTCCTGGCCAGCCCAAATTCCAGCTATCCAGGAAGGTGACCTCATCCCTGCTCCCCATGCCTGGCACCACGACCTGCACAGCCACAGGGGCCAAGGACTGGCCAAGGCCACTGGACACTGGGGACAGAGGGCTCACACCCTGCTCACCTCATGGCAAGGAGATACCCCTGTCCTGGCCCGAGCTGACGCCCCTGAGAGGAGCCCAAATGTGGTGTGAGGCTGTTTTATCCCTTCCCTTCCTGCAGCCCTGATTTGATTTTCCTGTTGGTTCCCAGGCTGGGGACAGCAGGCCACAAACCACATGACTCCTCAGCATGCACAGAGACAGCCATGGGCTCCTGGATTTGGGATGGGGAGGGAGGAGAAACATGCCCAGGACTGATGCAGAACAAGTCCTGCTTGGGGTCTAGACCCCCTCCAACATCCATAAATGGTGATGGCCAGCAGTCTTTCATATGGATGCCCATTTTCCAAGCAAAACCACTCCTTCCCATCTCTGCCAGCCACTTACTTTCCATCTGTTCCCTGCAGCAACACCCTGCATCCCAAAAAATTGCTGTCTAGAGGGGATTTACCAAAGCATCCCATTTTCCATCCCCCCAGAGAAGGGAGGGATGGTGCTCCTGAACCCCATCTCAGCTGCAGTGTCCTGGAGGTGGGAGCCGGCTGCTCCGGGCGCTGGGCGCGTGCCCAGATCCAGCCGTGGCTCCCAGGGAAAAAATTGCCTTGGGTAGAGGGGATTTACCAAAGCATCTCATTTTCCATCCCCCCAGAGAAGGGAGGGATGGTGCTCCTGAATCCCATCTCAGCTGCAGTGTCCTGGAGGTGGGAGCCGGCTGCTCCGGGCACTGGGTGCGTGCCCAGATCCAGCCGTGACTCCCAGGGAAAAAATTGCTGTGGGTAGAGGGGATTGACCCATAGCACCTCATTTTCCATTCCCCCAGAGCAGGGAGGGGTGGTGCTCCTGAATCTGATCTCAGCTGCAGTGTCCTGGAGGTGGGAGCCGGCTGCTCCGGGCGCTGGGCGTGTGCCCGGATCCGGCCGTGGCTCCCAGGGAGCCGCACCTCGCCTTGGCTGCGGCTCCCAACGCCCTCGGGGGGCCCCAGCTCCCGGTTGGGGCCTGTAGCTGTTCCTGGCGTGCAGAGAGCACAGGGACAAGATCCCAGCTCTCCTCACGTGGCTCTGGGTTGAGCAAGTGGGGACAGGCTTGGCTGGCAGGGCTCTCCGTTCATCCGGGCACGATGGGTTCCTTGGGGATGGGGTGTGTGGAGAAACCCCTTTTCCTGGGGAAATCAGACCCTGGGTTTGTTTCCAGCAGCCCTGCATGGGATGAAAGCAAGGAGGGAAAAGGCTCATAGGGTGGTGCAGTTAATCCCATTGTTGCTCAGGACATGGGAATAAGGAGAAGGACCAGTAGGAGCAGCCAATGTCCTGGAGAAAGGGTCCTATAGGATAAGAATGTGACATCCCTGATCAGGCTGGTGGCAATACCCAGAGCTGAATTTCTGGGGGGGGCTGAGACAGCTGAGCTTCCTTCCCAGGGCAGTTTCACCATTCTCTGCTGTCTCTCAGGCCTGGGGCACCACAGGGATTGCAGGGAGAGATGGAGAAGGGAAAAGCAGCCCCACTCCTGCTCCTGGCATGGTCCCACGTGAGTCAATGCTGCTGGGCAGAGAGGCCAAACAGGATCCTGGCACCTCCTTCTCTCCCTCCAGCTCCAAAATCCTCTTGGAAGAGTCACATTTGGGCTGAGCCACCCCAGTCAGGGAGCCACCACAGTACCTGGGGCTGGCAGGACACCCCAAGGCATCCATTTCCTTTCTAAAAGGAAAGACCAGGGGTGAATTTGGATGCCTGAGAGATGGAAGAAGGAAGAGGCAGGATGGGAGACCTGAATCCAGGGGATACAACTGGGGGATAAACAGGGTTCTGTTGGTCATATTGGTGCCTCCCCAAATAATCACACAGCCTCCACCTTCTGGGATTATGGGCTTCGTGGATCAGTGATGTCATTTTTGGGAGACAAGGGACAGGATTGGGCTGGATTGGGTTGGATTGGGTTGGGTGACCTCTGAAGACCCCTCCCAGCCACCACGCAGAGGTGGCATCACAAAGGGCACTAAGAAATGCTCTCCTCCACTTTTTGGGACCCAGCCTGGGAGACACTGCTCTGAGAGATGTTTACCCTGCCCTGGGTCTCCAGAGGTCCCTTCCAGCCCTAACAACTCCGGGATTCTCTGTGCCTGGCTTAACCTCAAGGACAACAGGGACAGAGCCTGATTTAATGTCTGGCAAGAGCAGGCTGTGATGCTTTTCCACCACAACATGGATTAAGCTTTTCTCTTTGCTGGCCAGGCCTGAAGACCATCACTCAACATCACCTTCACGTGCCTCCTTAAATTTGACCCCCACATATTTCTGAGGCCTCATTGCCTCGATCTGCACCTGAAATGAGGACCCTTTTCAAGATCCCCACACTGTGGAACACATTAAAAGGTGAATTACCCAAACTGTGAAAGAAAAGAGAACCTTAAATGCAACTAAAACCCACGCTCCAGGCACTGGCACTCACTCCATAAATTGGCAACATCATCTGTGCTCACCAAGACACCAAAGGCAAAGCTCTTGACTTCACTGTAATGTGGAAACAGGATTACAAAGATCATATCTGAGAGATGGCAAAAGCCATCAAGGCAAAAGCAGGATCAAGGCCAGCACAGTGACCTAAGCCCCGGGACACTCATGAAAAGTGAGGGTAAGCACTCATCATCCCCTGAGTCTGTTTGTTAGAAAGCAATCCACAATTTGTAAAGATAACTACAGATCTTTGTTTTATTTATAAAAAAAATGGAAGTAGAAAAATTTGGCTGAAAATACCAACAACAACGATGACAACAAAAATATAAAAAAATAGCACTTGCACGGGAAATGTTTCTGTTTTGAAAACTGTTGTCAATAGCGACAGCAATTTAAATCATTGAACAATCATCATATAAAAACATTTATTTAAATTAAATATTTTATGCAAACTCATATCTACACTCATTCAAAATGCATAGAGTCACACAAAAGAGATGGAATGTATTAGCTTAAAAACCGGCGAACTTTTGGGGGTTTTTTAAAAGTTTTCTTTGCAATTATTATTAATACATTTTGGGGACTGAAACCAGGAAATCATAACCACGTTACTAACTAATCATTACCAAGTGCCATACAGTAAACACTAAGATTAATCATGTCATATAACTGATTTAAAATAAAGCTTCATTTTTATGGAAAGGAAGAGAACTCGAGCAATACAAAATCCGAGGTGGGGGGGCAGGAGGAATAATGGAAGGAATAAATCAATGTACAGCTTTATTACAAGCAATAAAACGCCAGAGTTAGGAGAGGCATTGGGCACTGTGGCTCCAAACACGGAGCCTTCCCCTTCAAAGGATGTTTGATAAAAAAAGTGTCTGCTACATCATCACCTCTTGGCCAAAATGTTCATCCCAGGACCTGCTCCCATCTGGGGTGGATGCCGGCCGGGTCCTGCCTTTCCATGCCCTGATCTTACCCCACTCCAGAGCAGGCTCAGCGCTCTCAGGGCTGGCTACCTCACTCCTGGCTGGTGTCCCATCCCCTCTGGGGTTTCCCGAGGGATGAAGCCCCCAGTCCATGCTCTGGGGCAGGGGATGGGGGCTTTAATCCCCATAGCAGTGGTCAGGCAGGTCAGGGTGGTCAGGCAGCAATGCCACCACCAGAACCCAAACACAGCTCATGGACCTTCACCAAAATCTTCCCTTCTCCCATCCCTGCCTTTCCCCCTTCCAGGGGGAATTCAAGCCTGACATTTGCAGGGTGCCGCCGCACTCCTGACTCCAAAGCAGAGCTGGGGATACCCCAAAATGAAGGGCAGCCTTCCTGTGCTCCCAGGAGCATCCCTGCTTTGGAAGAGGGACTTGGCCAAAGGGCTTTGGCGTCGGGAGGTGCCCCCTGGCCACAGTGGGAGCAGAGCACTCCAGGCTTTGCACGGTGGTGACCCAACAACCCAAATCCTTTACCTACAGCACCAAGGAGACTCCAGGGCCCTGTGGTTCGGTCACCCTGAGGGAGCGACGCCTCGGAACAGTGTCGGGTCCTTCCTGGGCCGCTCCAGGCGGCCCCGGCTGGGCTCCTAAGAGACGCTGTAGTTATTGTAGTAGGTGGCCGTGGCATCAGCCAGGACGGAGATGAGGCTGTTCTCGGAGCTGTGGGAGCTGCCAGAGCCTGGGACGTGCCCATTGGCCAAGGCCCCTCCGTGGTGGTGGTGGTGGTCACCGTGGCCGGGGTTGTTGAGATATTGGTCAAACTCATTGCGGTCCATCTCCCCCAGCAGCTCCGCTTGGCTCAGCTGGTCCAAGGTGTCAAAACCGTGGTGGTCTGGTGGTGGGGAGAGCTGGCCCAGGTGGGCATGGAGGTTGGGAGGGGGCAGGGAGGGGAAGGCGGGTGTGTAGTAGCTGGGAGGAGGAGGAGGAGGAGGAGGAAGGGAAGGGCAGCTGGAGGCCGGGGGGATCATGCAGGTGGCCGGCTGGGGCATGGGGCTGAGCGGGTGGTGGCCGCAGGGCAGGGAGCTGCCCGCGTACTCCGCAGAGAAGGTGGCACTGGCGAGGTGGGAGCGGTGATGCTCCTCGGGGCAGGGCGAGGAGAAGAAGCTCTGCTCGGGGTCTATGGCATCCAGAGGGGACATCTCCGGCGGGGTGGGCAGCCCGTAGGGGTAGGTGTCCACGCTGGTGCTGCTGCCGCTGCCTGGAGGCTCCCGGTACGCCCGCACTGCCGGCAGCCCCGGGCGGGGGGGGTACTCACCCGGGCTCTCTTTGTCCCCCCCGGCCCGGCTGCAGGTCCGCTTTTCCGGCACAGAGTTCTGGTCCCCCCGTGTCAGGCTGCCCAGCAGAAAGCCGGGATCCACCCGCTTCCCGATGCGCTTGACCTGCTTCTTCCGACGGGGCCGGTACTTGTAGTTGGGATAATCTTGCATGTGCTTCACCCGCAGCCGCTCGGCCTCCTCCACGTAGGGACGCTTCTGCGACAGGCTCAGCGCCTTCCAGGACTTGCCTGAAACGGAGGACACGCTCCCTTAGCACCCACAGCCTCCCAAGGGTGCCCCAATGTCCCATCTGGCACACGCAGAGGACACATCCCAAAAATCCTGCAGAGGGATGTGGTGGGAGTGGGTGGGAGAAGAAGGGGGGAATTGAGGCTGCTATAGGGTCTCCCTTCATCCCAAGTCCCCACACAAGGTGTGTTTGGGGTTAGTAAATAAATCCAGGCAGAAGAACTCTCCCAGCTCCCTGTGGAGCAGGGACAGCCAAGGCCGTGCCTGGCTGAGCAGAAGGTCAGGACGTGCTGTCCTTTAAGGTGCCCCAGTTTGTGCCCTGCCAGGGCTTGCAGCAGGGCACAAGGAGACCTGGGCACTGTGACAGCTGGTATGGATGGTGGAGGGTGTCCCAGCTCATGGCAGGGGGATGGATTAGATGGTTTTTAAGGTCCCTTCCAACCCAAACTATTCCATAATTCTGTAATCCTATGACCTCGTGCCTCCCTGTTTGAGATAAAATGTCCCCAAGACACAGCACAGAGAAGCAGCATTGGGCAGGGGGGTTTTATCCCACAGTGAGGCTGTCCCAGGCTGCTCCTCAGGGTAAGGGGGAGAAATGAGGATACACATCAAAGCCTTTGATGCCTTCCCATGGCCTGAGACAGCAGAAATAACACTAATAAGCTGAGATGCTGCATGGCAAAGCAGCGAGGAGAAAACCCAAACCACCAAAGAAAACACCACAGAACTGTCCAGGGAAACACAAACTTTGGATAAGAGGTTGGGCAGCAAAGCTGTGTTGCAATTCGGGGAGCTCTTTCTCAGGCTGTCTGGGCTGATAATTTTGGTTTGCCCTCTTGGTTTCACATTAAAATGGGGCTTAGGAGGAAGGGAGAAATAGTAGATGGGGAGTGGGAAACAAATTTGTGCTCAAAATGGGTTGTGATCCCCCAAAAGTAACAGCAGAAAAACACACACACAGCCCCTAACCATGTAATACAACGTGGCACAGCAAGGACAGGCCAGAAAATTTTGGGGGTCCCTCCTTGCAGAGCAGGGCAGCACCCTCAGGGTTGCAGCAGAGGGGTGGCAGGGTGCCTGTCCCCTGGGATGCAGGACACCATCAGGCTTTGCACCCCGAGGAGTGGCTGCACACCTGGAGTGTGGGACAGTGCTGGGGTGAGCACCCCTGGCTGACAGGGCACGGTGCTGCTGAACTCCATCAGGTATTGCAGCCCCAGCGCGCTGCACCCGGGCTGGCTTTGCACCCCAAAACCAGCCAGGTAAGTGTGGGGGTGCCCTCCTGCCGTGTGCCAGACCGGGTCCCCACCTGGGCAGGGTTGGCACCCCCAGGGATGGCCAGTGGCGCTGGCATTCCCAATCTGGGGCGCTGGATCTCGATGGGATTTGCACCCCGGGATGACCGGGTGGGTGCGTGGTGCCCAACCCGGGGCGCTGGATCCGAATGGGATTTGCACCCCAGGAATGGCTGGAGAGTGCCTGGATCCCCACCCCAATGCTCTGAATCCGGACGGGGTTTTCACTCCCGGGACCGCAGGTGGGTGCCTGGGGACCAAGCCGGGAGCGCTGGATCCCAGCAGGGTGTGCATCCCAATCCCGGGTGGGTGCCTCCCCCGTGCCACCGGATCCGGGCAGGATTTGCACCCGGGGAATGCCCTGCTGGACTCACGGGTACCGAATCCGGACCAGGTTTGCACCCGCAGGGATCTCCGGCGGGTGCCCCTGGGCACTGAATCCCCACAGGATCGCCGGGTGGGTGCCCGGGTTCTCGCCCCGGGGCACCGGATCCGGGCAGGGTTTGCACCCCCGGGGATGCCCGGGGTGGGTCCCCGATTTTCCCCCCTCCAACCCGCGCCCCCCGCGCTGCTCACCGAGCATCTTGCTGAGCTCCGCGTTGTGCAGGTCGGGGTTCTGCACCGCCAGCCTCTTCCTCTCGTCCTTCGCCCACACCATGAACGCGTTCATGGGCCGGCGGATGCGGCTCTCGGAGCCCTTCTCGCCCTGCGACGCTCGGGGGGGTGGCCCTGGGGACAGCCCCTCGCCCGCGTCCCCCTCCAGCCGCTCCGGCCAGGGGAATGTGCTGAGCAGCGCAGCCATGGCCCCCCAGGCCCCCCCGGCCCCGCCGCGCTGCCCTCGGGGTCCCCGCGCAGTCCCAGCCTCCTGCCCGGCCTCTCCCGTATTTATGAGCTCCTTGGAAAAAGCCTCCTCCAATGACACCGAAGGGACTCGCTGCTCCTCCTTGTTTGCAAACTCCTCAGCCCCGGCCGGGATGGTTTCTGCGAGGAAACTTCTCCCCACCCCTTCTGCCCGGCGCCCCCCGGGAAAGCAGCACCCCCAACACCCTCCTTTCTCCTTCCCACTCCCCCCTCCCCCTCTTTTATTATTATTTTTTCTTTATTTTGCTCGCCGAAAGGGAGTGAGGAGAGAGCTGGAGATGTCCCGCCCCCAAACAGCTCCGCTGCCCTCCGGCCCCTCAGGCATCTTCAAACTTTAAAGGCTGGGGGGTAACACAGAGAGAGGAGATAAAGGCACTGAAAACTGGGGAAAAAAGGAAAATGGCACTGAAAGGAAGATCCCACTGGGGTGCAAAGGGCCCCTCCCCAGGCTTTGACAAGATGCAGGAGCCCTGTTTGCCAAGGGAAATCGAGGCACGGATCCTACAGACAGGGACAACTTTTCCCCACTTCTGCTTAAACCACCAGCCCAGGCTGTGCTTTGCCCAGCCCATGTGGGTTTTCACCCCAGATTTCCAGATCCCTTTGTATGGGATGGAAATTGGGACACAATGAACCTGCTGGGGGGTGCTTGTCCAGCCTGGTCAGACTCCTAAGGGAGCTTTTAGGGGAAAACAAGGCAGGGATGGAGCTCAAAGAGGATGAAACATCTCCAGTCGGTCCCCGCTGCCCATCCCTGGACACTGGGAGACAAAGGATCTTTTCCTTGCTGCTGCTTTTTATGGAATGCTGGTGCAACCCAAAAAGATGGGATGGAAGTCCCAAAGCCACACAGTGGTGTCCCCCACTAGCCCAGCTGGGTGGGAAAATCATCCAAGCAGCATTCCTCTCACTAGGACAAGGGATCTCCAGGAAGGTGATGGCGCCGAAAATCCCCTTTCCCGGCTCATCCCTGCAGCCTGCCCTGGGGAATGAATGCATTTGGTGCCTGCATTCCTGTATGATTTTGACCCGCAGATATGGGGCTGCAGGGAAGCCGTGGGTTTCCTCTCCGCGCTGCCAGAGAAGCAGCGGGACGGGGGTTTGGGATGGGCGGGCTGGGGCTGGCCGAGGCTGCCCCATCTGACCCCAAGGCAGAGGGGAAAACCCCGGCGCGGATCCCAGGCCGGGGAGTTCGGGCAGGTTTCCCACGTGCCTGGGTGTTCCTATTGACTCTTGTCAGATTAGGAGTGATGGAGAGAGCTCATGTAAATGCGAGCCGGGCAGGATCCGCCTGGGCTTCCTGGTCTCCCTTCCCTCTGCACAGGAGCGGGATGGCTCTGGTTTCTTGCGGATTGCAGCGATTTTGGGGTCAGGAGAGCTGAGATCCGACAACTTCGCTCGCAGCAGAAGCAGCAACTTCCCTCCCCGAGCTTTTCCCCGGGACTGAACTAAAACCCTGCGGAAGCAACAACATTTTCCAAAGGAACTGATTAAATCTATTAAGCTATTTACAAGTGGGCTCCATCAGAGCTGCTTTATCTGGGAATACAACAGGAAGGCAACTTCTCTTAAATCTAAAAGGTGCAGGAGATTTCCTGGTCTCGGGACAGATTTATAAACCCTTTCCACACACACACACACACACACACACGGAGGAGCTGCCTTTTATCTGGGGTTTGGAGCTGGGCACGCTCCTGGGGACAGCCTGTTCTGTCCCAGCAGCTCCAGATCTCTCCTAAAATCCTTTGTCACGCCTTGAAGTGCCGGGACGGGGCAGGGAGGGAGGATGTCAAACTCCCCACCCTGCCCTGCACAGGTCTCCTGGGTGCATTTTGCAGGCTGGAGCTGCTGCAGAGGTTGGCAGTGTTATTTTGGGAAGAAAACCTGGAACATCCTCAATTTTGTTTGGTTCCTTTAGGAAGGGTGGAAGTGCCCTGTAAAAGAGGCTGCCCGGGGTTGCAAGGTTTTCTTTTGAATAGGATGGTACTTTTGGTATGGTGAATATGTTGCATGGCTCACTGTAACTTCTTAACCCTCAGGATGCTCAGGACCTGTCTATCATGAATACAAAAACACCTCTGTGGAGGCCCCAGAGGCCAGGAATTTTTAGTAGTAGCAGCAGAATTTCCCTTCCTGGGAAAAAGAAAGAGATGGGTGAATTCCAGTTGATGCCTTTTACAGAACTACTTCCACCTTGCCCTGTGTTTCCACATTTTGCAGGATGGGTGGATAGGTTTGGGAGAGGAAAAAACCCTGAGCAAGGACAGGACCTGCACCCACTCCTGCCTCTGCTGCCAAAGCCTGGAAGCTCTTGGAGTACCTCTCTGGGTGTTCCTGATCCTCATTATTCCCTCCACATCCTGGGAGTAACATTTGACCTCCCAAAGGTATCACAGGGGTCAACTCGTGGCTTTTCAGACCCTCTCGAGACCCAATCTGGGGCTCCTGTGTGGTTACAGCACAAAGAAATCCAGCAGAATATTCCTCATTTGGATTTCCTCCCTTCCCAGGGCCCCCACACAGAATTTTAAGTGCAAACACTGCTACTATTATTAATAACCACTGGTTTTTCCCCCCTTCTCCCCCTCTCCTGCAGCACCTGGCATTCTGATGGCATTAGTAAGGAGGGTTTCATTCTGCACCCTGCCTAAAATGCTGGTCAAACCTGTCCTGTTGGAAGCTCCCACGTTACATAAAGGAGGCTGGGGCCATGTGAAAATGCCACCTCTTAATTACCACCGGATCGGGGTAATTAGTCTGGAAAAACCTCGGGATTACCTTTTTTTGTGTGTGTGTGTGTGTGTGTGTGTGTGCTCACCTTCCCCTCTCTGCTGCGAGGCTTCACCTGTATCTGGGGCACAGGAAGCAGCAGAGCTCTCCCAGGGCTTTGGGAACAGGGAAATTACGGCGAAAAGCCGCGAGCGAAAATAGATGGAGCAGACAAAGGGGGGAAGAAAGCTTTGTTCTCCCCCATTTTCATGGATGGGGAACAGTGGCGACAACTCCCATGGGCCAGGCAGAAAATGAGTGGCTGAACCCTATATGGAACGACCACCTCTTTAAAAATAGCCCTCTTTTTTTTTTTTTTTTTTTTTTTTTTGGGGTGGATCTGATATCTGGAATTTTATCCCTGCAAAGGGAGGGTTTATTTTCACCCTCCCACACCCCCATCTCGCACCCCGCCAACCTTCAGGGACATTAAAATATGTGAGAAAGTGCAAATCCTAAATTAGCTCAATATTCACATGTTCCTTAATTATTGATGAAACTCTTGGCTCCCAAGGGAAGTTTTTGCAGAGAGAGCTGGGGGTTCCCAGCAGAAGATTCCCTCAGTGCTGTAGTTTCCAACTCTGCCCACTGCCCATCCTCCTTGATTCCACCAGGTTTTCCCCAGGGATTGCTACCTGGACCATTTATTTTCTAGGTAAAAAAACCCAGAGCTTTCCCATTACACAAAAATAATACAGAAAAGCTCCCCTTCCCCGCCCCTTGAAATGCAAAATTTTTCAGCGTTGTGCTGAATAGTTCTGCTCTTACTGCTTTTAAAATGCAGTTTAAACGTTACAAAAATATGTATTTTAGTGCCTTTAGGTTAAATGGAACTAGGAAGAGTTTCCTTCTTACACCTTTAAATTTATGAAGATGGATTAAGATAAGAAAAAAATGTATTTGTGTGATTCAGAAGCAGATTTTGACTTGCTGAGAAATGAAGCTTCAATTTGTTTTACAATATTCCCACTTCTGCCACCACAAATTATGCATTTGTACTGCATTTCCCAGTCCTACATCACTAAAAGTTTGCTGATCCAAGACAAAATTGGTTTATCCTTGGATAGAACAGGTACAGAAACAAAAGCCTTGGTTATTGTCCCAAGTTCTCTGAGCTCAGATCCCTCCTGGGGGTTCCTGCCCAGGAGTGAGGGGGAATTAGGCAAAGGATGGCTTCAGATGCCCACAATCCTCACCCTGTATCCAATAGGATACACTATTCCCAGATCTTTTTTTTTCCAGCCAGGTGTGATGCTGGGCAGTGCTTCCAACAGATTTTGTGTGGTTTCCCTCTCTTCTTGGAGCTTCCTTCCTTCCCTTGGCGTTGGCAGGTTTGGAGGTTTCGTGACGTAACTTGTGTCTTTTGAAGGTGGATGCTGCAACAGCTTCAGTCTCGTGTGTTTAAACAGGAGAAAATTGGTTAATTACGCTGATGAATGCAGCTAATTGTCCTTGCTGAGAGCTGAGGAGCTGGAGGCAGAGAGCACCAGGGCAGCTGAAAGGAGAACTGCAGCCATGGACACGATGCTGAGCTGTCCTCAAACACTTCACAGAGCCACAGAAAGGTTTAGGTTGGAAAATCCCTGAGAGATCATTGAGTCCAACCATTCTCAGCGCTGCCCAGGCCACCTCTGATCCATGTCCCCAAGTGCCACATCCACAGAGCTTTGAAATCCCTGCAGGGATGGGGACACCTCCATGGCCCTGGGAAGCCCCTTCCAATGCCTGACAGCCCTTTCCATGGAGAAATTCCTCCTGGTCTCCAACCTGAACCTCTCCAAGCACAACTTGTGGCCGTTCCCTCTCATCCTGTCCCTGTTCCCTGGGAGCAGAGCCCGACCCCCCTGGCTGTCTCCTCCTGTCAGGGAGTTGTGCAGAGCCACAAGGACCCCCCGAGCCTCCTTTTCTCCAGGCTGTGCCCCTTTCCCAGCTCCTTTAGCCCCTCCTGGTGCTCCTTCCCCAGCTCTGCTCCCTTCCCTGGAAACACTTCAGCCTCTTCAATTCACAAAAGTTACAAAGCAGCTGCATCCCAATAGACTCAAATTCACTTTAAACACAAGCACAGATGGTTCAGAAATCTTTAATGGTGTCTTGCATTTATGCTTTAAAAAACCCTGGTTGTTATTAAGGGGAACTTGGGGACATGGGTCAGTGGTGGCCTTGGCAGTGCTGAGGGAATGGTTGGACTCGATGGTCTTAGAGGGGTTTTCCAGCCTTAATGATTCCATGATTCTACAAATCTACCTCTGCTTTACACTGGCTGCATGTGAAGCATCAGAGCTGGAACATCTTGGGAGGAAATTCAAGGAATTCTGCCTTTACCACATGTCTGGGCTGTCACTTGAGGTGCTCCAGGGCCCTCTCCCATCTTTGGCACCAAGAAAAACTCCACAGACAGACAAAACTCCAAAAGTCCACAAAGTTCACGCAGATTTGGGTCCAACAGTGGTACCAGGACTATTTTTCCACGGTCTCTCCTTCCCAGGGTAGTTTGGTGCCTGCAGGTGCTTACAAGCACAATTGAACCTCCATTATTGCTGCTCTAACATTGCACTTGCCAATCATGTCCTTGGCTGTGGATCCTGCAGCGAATTCCGAGCCTCAAAGCCAAGAACAGCCCTATCCCTGCAAAGAATGGAGGAGCTCAGGAGAAACCAGTGTTGGAACGTTCCCAAAGCAAAAAGGAAAAATTTCCTTCAGTCACTGCTGACCCGGGGTTACCAAAACTGAAAACATTTTAATATCTGTGCTGCGAGTGCCTCTTTCCCCGTTGTGGAGCGACAGCAGAGCAGGGATTCTCATTTTCCTTGGTGTCCAGGTAATTTCACTGGGAGCCACCTCATTCTGTGAGGACAATGGATGAATTTATAACAAAAGGCCTCGGAGTTTGAAAGTCTGATTTTCGCGGAAATGAAACCAAGTCGCTCCTTTGTGCTCGCATTCTGCTAATTCCACCATCTGGGCACTGACGTAATTCTTTTTCTTGTGCTTTCTAAAAAAGGCCTTCTTGCCAAACCCAGAGTTGGGTTAAAACAGAACTCAAAACCCACTAGAAGCAAACAAACAAAAAATATATATGTAATTTATTACTCTGAGACATGTTTCTCTTGTTCCAATCATCCATTTCACTGGACAGTATCTGGTAAGAAGAGCTTTTCACTGAGTAATGTTGACCACAAACACAGAGCAGAGCAGTTAAATCAATTGTTTCTGTCAAATACAAGCAATTTATGATTTATGATTATTTATTTATTATGATTTTCCCCTCCTACAACCACATGCAGAGCTTGGGGCACATTAAAATTCCACATTTCCCAGGATAAAGTGCTGTGTATTTATTGCAGAAATAGAAAATCTTCCATTGGTAGCTGATACTTCCATCTGAGCCAGATTTAAGTCTTGGGTATCCTGAATTTAACAGAAGCAACAGCACAAATTTAAAGGTTTATTCCCAGTTTTATTCTTCCTGTAACTAATACTGGAATGTGGCCAAGCACCCACAAGAATCAGCACACAGGAACACGTGAAAATTCACAGAGGGAACAAACAAACAAGCCCAGCAATATTTGGGGAAGGAAACCTTATTCCTTGAGTAGCACCTTTTTAAACTGAAATCCCAGAGAGGCTGTAAAGTTTAATTGGCTTAAGAGTTAAAAAATAATAATTGGAAACAATCAGGCTTTTGGATTCTAATAACAAAAATTCTGACTTGTGGTGAGGAAGAAATCAGGAGGGATGCTTCAGTTTAACATAAAACATTATTTTGCTGTATTCTTTCACTGAGAAGTTGATTTTTTTCACCTCAAGCACGAGTTTCCTCCCAGTTTGACAATAACTGATGGTATTTGGTGGTCTTCCATTTAAGGAAGCCAGGGACAAGCAGATTATGGTGAATAATAATTGTACACCCTGAAAAGGAGATGCAACAAGGGTTAAAACCCCTGGCATGTGAAATCCAGGGAAAGGCATCTTGTTCTCCTGTACAAGAAGTGAAACTTCATTTTGCTGCAGTGAATGAGCATGTCCTGAAGGCATGGGGAAAAAAAGGTGCTTTGGAAACCAAGAGATCTTAAAAAACCAGGGTTGAGCTGCAACCAAACCATCCATGTGGTCTGGGTGCTGCAGATGGAGCTTCCTCCACTGCACAATAAAGGCAGCTTAAGGAAATTTTTTTCCCTATTAACATCTGCATCTTGACAATGTTCCTCAGACCGTGTTAAGCAACTCCACTGAGCTGAGACAATATAAAAATGTACCCATTTTCTTCAGCAGAGCAGCCAATGGGATGTTTTAGATTTACACTGATGAAATCCAGCCAGGCCTGGGTGAAATGAGCAGCTCATGGATTTGGATTCTGGATTCTGCCAGGGTAACTCTCTGGTCTTCAGGGTTGTGCTGTCAGTTTGCTGTGGCCAAAGAAATATCAGAACAGGACACCAGGAAGGGGAATCCTTCTTCCCATTCCACCACTTCCAAGCCCACCCATCTCTCATGACAGCTCTAAATGACATTAAAATGCCAAAATTCAAGCTGAATGTTTCAGATCTCCCACAAAACTGCTTGTGGCAGTGCCCAGTTGCAGCATTCCTTATTTCCAGGCTTATAATGAGAAACAAGCTCTAGTTTGGTTATAAATCCAAATAGCAAGTTTTCAATGTGTGAATGGCAAATTGAAACAGCAATCTGACTGTGCTTTTAAAATCTTTTGGTCTCCCACTTTCAGGAAAAAGCCTTGCTCTATCCAAGGCAGCTTTATGGATTCCAGAGGTACCAGATAAGAGATCCTGAGTATGTCCTGGAAATCAAAGATTTAGGTATGGTTAATAAATGATAAGGTAAATACACATTTCCTTTGGCTTTGGTGCAAAGTTTCAACTGTTTGACAATGGTTTGGAGGCACAGGGAGGTCTTTTTATTTCACCCTTAAGTGCTGACATTTTCTGAGCAAACTTTTAATCAGAGTAAGCATTTTGGGAAGAAACAACATTCATTTTATATGTAAAAAGAGATGAATGTAAAAATTAGACACCACTTTTCAAAAATCAATGAAAAAACACAAACAGCTTTGCAAAACCCCTCTGCTTCCAGAAGGTTCTCACAAGTGAAAACAATTTTAATAAAAACGCAGTACTAGGGAGCTTTTCAAATTTTTTTTCCTGGATTGAGAAAAACACAGTCAGGTGAAGCAGAAAGTCATTCCCTGCCTTTCACAGTCTTGGTGTGTTGATCCTCCATGTGGATCCCTTTTGAACATGGACTGAAGCTCCTGTTGGCCCATCACCATGTTTTCCCCCTTGGGAGAGCTGTGTTTAGATAGAGTCTGAGTTTAGATCCAGCCTGTGTTTAGACCCAGTTTGTCAGTTTGTGTTTAGATCCAGCTGGAGCTGGAGCAGTGTCCAAGCCTGGATTGGTGCTGTGTTTACACAGAGCCTACTTCAACACAGACTCACCCCTGAGCCTGAAAGGGTTAAATGTTCTTGCAGTGCTTCTTTTTCTTTCTGGGTGTTCCTTCCTCACATTCCCCTGTCTCCTCTTTTTGCTTTTTGTGCTTCTTCTTGTGGCGTTTCTTCTGCCTTTCCTCCTGCTCCTCTGTGCTGAGTTCCTCCCCCTCAGACATTCCCACAGAAATTTCTCCATTGACTGTATTCTCATCAAAACTGATATTTTCTCCTTCATTCTCCTCTTTATGTTTCCTCTTTTTTTTCCTTTTGTGACATTCATTTAGTGGATCATCCAGTTCTTTTCCATTCAAGCTCCCTGTCTTAGGCTTTTTCCCTGGTTTCTCACAGTCCTCTGTCCTTTCTGCCTCATCATCTCTCTTCTGCTTCTTCTTTTTCTTTTTGATTTTGGTTTCCAGCTCTTCTGAAGGCTCCACAGCTTCATCAGCTTCTGGGCTGGAATGATCCACCTTTGGTTCTGTTTCCTGCTGGGATCCCTTCAGCTTTGCCATGCGCTTGGCAAAATATTCCTGGACAGTGAGAGCACTCTTCACTGTGTTGGAACCATCTCCAGGGCTGGAGAGCCACTTGTTCCTCTCCTTCTCTTCCTGGGAGTCAAGATCAGCCTGAATTTCCTCCTGCAAGAGAACAGAGAGGAGCAGGAGTGAGTCAGGAGTCATGGCTTTAAACATAATGCTGGTTTTTTTGCACACTAATAAGGAAAATACTGAAAAGCAACGTGGTGCTTTGAAAATTAACTGTGAAAGTACAGATTTGGGTGGAAGTGAGGCAGTCCTTAATGTGAAAGATGCTGTAGGTTTAGGGAAAAGAGGTGGAAGGAGGGAAGGGAGCAAGAGAAAACAAACCAAGACAATTTTCAGTTTTAGTTTACCTACTCCTACATAACTCATGTCTACCAGTGCCATACATAGTACATTACACTGACTTTACAAAGCACATGTCTCTGCAAGACATAAACCAGCATGAAAAATGATCCACTGCAATCCATTAGCCTGTGGCACAAAGGAAATCCCATGCCTGGAATAACTCTTCAGCAAAGAACTTGTAATCCAGGGAGCAATCCAGCATTGAGGCATCTCTTCCATCTTATCTGATCTTTGGAAATGTTTGTTTCAGAGCTGCTCTGCTGTCAGGGTGTCCCAGATGTTGTTATTTAAACAGGCTCCATTTGATCACACGTTATCAGATGGCACAAACAACATCACAGGTTACATCTTACAAGGTTTCTGCAGACATGAAATAAAGAGCTGCTCATCTCCAGCTGCAGGTGAAGAGTCTCCTTTCTAGAAAGAAAATATCAAACTAAGAAATATCAAACTAAAAGCAAATTACAGCTCTGGACCTGGATGTTATGGATGGCATGAAGAGAATTGACTGAGAAAGCAACAAATGCCACAAGATGGAAATGTATAATTTGTTAAATTATCTGACATTTACAAAAGAAACAAACCAGAAAGGCAGCTGAAATTAAGGCTTGTTCACATACATACCAAAGCACTCAAAACAAAGCCTTTGCGGTATAGCCTTTTACTTGGCAAAAGTCACAAATGACTCTTGGAAATGTCCCAAAGTTTCATAGAATCACAGAATCATTCAGGTTAGAAAAGAGCTCCAAGACTATAAAGACCAACCTGTGACTTTACCCCACCTTGTCCCCAGCCCAGAGCACTGAGTGCCACATCCAGTCACCCCTTGGACACCTCCAGGGATGGGGACTCCAAACCTCCCTGGGCAGCCCCTTCCAATGCCTGACCACTCTTTCCATTATGAAATCTCTCCTGATGTCCAACCTGAGCCTCCCCTGGCACAGCTTGAGGCCATTTCGTCTCCTCCTGTCCCTGTTCCCTGGGAGCAGAGCCCGACCCCCCTGGCTGTCCCCTCCTGTCAGGAGTTGTGCAGAGCCACAAGGGCCCCCCTGAGCCTCCTTTTCTCCAGGCTGAGCCCCTTTCCCAGCTCCCCTAGCTCATTACTTGTTTTTTTAAAGCCTTGTACAAACCACAGGGAACAGGTACCCCCTCTGGATGGGAAAAGCTGGGAAGGATGGTGTAAAATCCTCACCAATATCTGCCCTACAACCCCTTCCTAAAGGAAAGGGGATCCACAGGGATTACAGTCAGAGATAATTCCTTGATTTTCCATTCATAAGTGCACGGATGGGTAAGAGCATCCACTCTGCCCACACATCCTGAATCCTGCCTGCCCAAATCAGAGCAGTCAGATTTCACAGCCACTTTCACTGCCATAACCTGATACTAGAGGAAGGCCAGCAAAGAGCTGGGAGATAAAACCCCACTTATCTCAACACTTTATAGTTATTGTGTGATGCTGCAGATAAGGGACCTGGCTCTCTTGAGGGCATCATTAAACTTGCTGGCTGAAGTTGGGTTTATTAGGGTTTGTGAGTAAGGTTTTCCAGGTCTGGCTCCTTATGCATCCATAACCTTTACTCCCATGAGCAGGAATGCAAAAATTGGTGTCATTAGTGATGCATTAAGAGTGGTGATTTCCTCATCCATCTGCTTTCAAGAGAGCTATTCCAGTGGAACGAAAGTAAGGCTGCACTTGAGATTCCAGTGATGTTTGTGTGGGCACTTATCAAAATTAGGGACTTTTCTTGTAGGGATATGTTGTAGTGTTCCTGAAGGGTTATGAAGTAATTGAAACTATTTAACTTCTGGCAAAGAAGCCTGAAAAGGGATGTGGAACACAGGGTAAAAACAGGATGTATCCACACATGTCTCCACACAGGTTACATTTGAAAGGGGAGTGGCAGAAGAAGTTTAACAAGACAGAATTCCCAGGATAAATGGGTTGAGCTATATTTATATTAAATATTTTTAGTAAGACCTAAACCAACAAACAGAGACTCCCATGTCATCACAGGATCATTTAGCTTGGAAAAGAGCTCCAACACCATCAAGTCCATCCTGTGACCATTCTTGTCCCCAGCACAAAGCACTGAGTGCCATGTACAGGCCTTCCTTGGAAATCCCTGCAGGGATGGGGACTCCAAACCTCCCTGGGCAGCCCCTTCCAATGCCTGACAGCCCTTTCCATGGAGAAATTCCTCCTGATGTCCAACCTGAACCTCTCCAGGCACAATTTGAGGCCATTCCCTCTCCTCCTGTCCCTGTTCCCTGGGAGCAGAGCCCGACCCCCCTGGCTGTCCCCTCCTGTCAGGAGTTGTGCAGAGCCACAAGGGCCCCCCTGAGCCTCCTTTTCTCCAGGCTGAGCCCCTTTCCCAGCTCCCTCAGCCCCTCCTGGTGCTCCAGCCCCTTCCCCAGCTCCATTCCCTTCCCTGGACAAGCTCCAGCCCCCCAGGGTCCCTCTTGTTGGGAGGGTCCCAGAGCTGTCCCCAGCACTGGAGGTGCCCCAGCAGTGCCAGCACAGAGGGACAATCACTTCCCTGGCCCTGCTGAAGCCCAGGCAAGCAGGGTCATTTTCCTTCCCCCCACAGCAGGATTTTGACACCCTGGATTGCAAAAGGACAAACAGACTCCCAGGTTTTCAGCCAGAACCGTTTCCCTCCCCACCCTGATGTGTAAAACACACTCAGGCTCAGAACACCCATTACTCCCTGGCCAACCAGGAAAGGATTTTCTCATTGCCTTGGTGACTTCAAGTCCTGACAACTTAATTACTGTAATTGAAGGCAAATATTACTTGAACTCTACACATTTCTTTCTTTTCATGAAGTACATTAGGCATAAAAACAAATGTTCCTTTGGTTAAGCAGAGGAGTTCCAAAGGTATGTACAAGTTTAGAAAATAAGAACCTTGCTCAGAAACTCCTTTATTGATAAGAATTTTAATAACCACGGGCCACTGAGCACAGAATTAACAGGGCATGGAGACAAGCAAAGAGGTGCCAACCCTAGAAAACCTCTGAGTTTAGGAAAAGCTTATGTAAAACCATAAATCACCTGGAAGGGCTGTTAAGTGCCAAGGTATTCCTGCTTCTGTGGTGTACCTGTCCCAGTAGCCATGAGAACACTGCTGAACTCTAACCAGGGGTCTTCTCTAACCCCTCACAGTTTATGTAATTCCTCCCCTGCTTGACCCAACACAGAGAAAAAAATTCAAAGAAAAATAAGGCAGATATCCCTAAAAGTGGATTGTGCTGCTGAAGCTTCTGAAAGACAAAATTTTCACCAGATAAAGGACAGAAATATTCTTGCTCCAGAGAACTGACGATCAGGTAAAAGGGAAAGAGCAATTATGCTGAAACTAGAGGGAAACCTGAAGATTGGACCTTACAAATTATGTTTGTCCATGCCATGAGTTCCAAAATTGCCTGAGATGAAATTAGAAGGAATTGGGAAGAGGGAATTGGTAGGATGGTCCCAAGCAGAACAAAAGGACTGCTTGAAATGTGGTGTTAAATGTGGAATGAGTAAGAGGAAACAATAGGAAAATTCAAGGAGAGGTTGGGAAGTGCACAGGAAGAGATGAAGGTCAATTACAGGCAGAAGTTCCCTGTAAATATCATCTGTTTATGTAATTAGTGAAATGTATGGAAAATAATCTAAAGGACATAAAGCACTCCATGTACCGCCGTGTTTTTCTCTGCCTTTCTTTGGTTGCTGATTAAATCATTAAGGGAGTGCACTAAACTTACAGAGGGAAATCCTGGTTCCCTCGAATCCTGCAGGATCAGGATTGCATCTCCAGGGCATCCCACTCTCAGAGCACCTTTCAGTTATTTAGTGAAAGGTAAAAACAGGGAGTTATGGTCAATGATCAAAGGAATTCACATCAGTGAAAACAAGAGAAGAAGCCTAAAGGGAGAGGGATTTAGACACTACATGAAATCAAATGGGTCTGCAATCCAACCTGGTCTAGTGGAAGGTGTCCATGGCAGAGGTAGGAATGGGATGAGCTTTAAGGTCTATTCCAACCCAAACCATTCTGGGATTATTATAATTAATATTCAAAAATAAGATCTGCACCTGCACGTTACCCTGGGAGGAAAAGTGAGACAGAAACCCATGGGCAAAGCAAAGGGTGCTGGAAACATACAGGAGCAAGAGAAGCAGCCTGGATTAATTCAGAGAACTTTCCCTCCTCTTCAGAATGCAAGTATTTCCTTTTTCAAACTTAAAATCATAAAACAGGGGAGTAAAATAATCTCTTGTACCATCTCTGTCTGCTACATATGAACTACTATTACTCAAGCCCAGTAATTTCACATGACTTTGCTTTGTTGGTACTAATTCACAATGATTTTGTGAAATCTGATTCACAAAAACGACACAAAAGGCACAGTCTAGAAGGGATGAGCAAAAAGGCAGAATAGAGCTAAACTATTTTAGTTGGGTCTCACTTAAATGACAGTAAGTGGGCTGGATGAGGCACATGGAGCCTGAGTTCCATGGAAAACACAGGATCACTCTTAGCTTTAAAATGGAGCCACTGCTGTTCTGCCTTTCTTACCAACTTCCTTGCTGAGAAACTGTAACAATAAGATTAAAATAATCCTGTTCTGTTCCTGCTGCTTCAGATCCTCACTGAGAGGTTGGTAGGACCCCCATGCAGTGCACAAAACTTGAGAGGCAAGAGCTGAGGGCATCCCTGTATCTTTCCATCCCAGGAATGGCTGCAGATGATTCCTGAAGAG